CCGACTTAATAACTCCACCTCCACAAGAGACGTAGAGCCAAGGTTGATGGAGTTAGGTTGACGCAGCTGTAGTGCAGACACTGCGTTGCTTCTGTCGACTGTTACTGGCTTTCAGGAACCTCCCCACAATGCCCCACACTGACAGTGCAATTGATAGACACTCTCCTGGTGAGGACGCACACCGCCAGGGCAAGGAGCAAAGTGTAGACACACACAGGTGACGTAATTACTGGGGCGGCTGTATGCCGACGTAAATTAGGTCGATAATTTTGTAGTGCAAACCTGGCCTAAGAGGACGCCTACACTAGAAACACTGTAGCTGCACCACTACCGTGTAGGTGTTTTGTGCAGCGCCGGAAGACCCCTTCCATCACTCTGAGTAAATCCACCTCTCTGAGAGTCAGTAGCTAGGTCAACAGAACAATTCTTCATTGACATAGCAGTGTCCACACAGGGGCTTAGGTCAGCTTAATTACATTGTACAAGGAGTGATATTTTTCACAGACCTGAGCAATGTAGTTGAGCCGATCTAACTTTGTAGTGTAGACCAGCCCTAAGTCCTTGCACCAGACCTTTGCACAGTGCACATCCACACCTGGTGTGGTACATCACACTTCCCTCTACTCTCTCCCTAGCCTGCTCCCCTCCAACCTGTAGTGGAGGGTGGGGTAGCGGGGAGTTAGTAGCCACTGCAGGGGAGTAACAGAAGTCCGTATGTCCTGAACCAGCCTGCAAGATGGGCCATGATCCGGCCCTAGGCTAATCAGGATTGTGTTACCTTCTCCTCCTCCTGTTCCACAGCCTGGGAAGGAGAATTGCTCCCACCCATCCCCATAATGTTACTCAGTCTCAGGGCTAGGGAAAAGATTTGCCCCTAAAAATAAAAATGTGGATGTCGCCTAGTGTTAATCTCCTATAATTAATTAAGGCAGTAATATTGCCTAGTGGCTAGAGTACTGGTCTGGGATTCAAGAGTCCTTTGTTCTATTCCTGGCTCTGCCCACTGACCTGCTGAGTGACCTTGGGCAAATCACTTCACTGCTCGGTGCCTCAGTTTCCCCATCTGTAAAATGGAGATAATGATGCTGACCTCATCTGTAAAGCCCTTTCGGTATGTCTAGCCTGCATTTTAAAACCCGCATCAGTGAGTCTCAGAACCGGGGTCTACGGACAGGCTCATTGGGCTCATGTTACCGTACTAACAGCCATGTAGACGTTCAAACCTGGGGAGGGTGGTGAATTTCACATCTACACAGCTGTTTTTAGCACCATAGTGTGAGCCCCAGTTTGTAGACCCGGGCTGTGAGACTCACCACTGTGGATTTTTAAAAGCTATGTAGACATGTTCTTTGAGACCTACTGATGAAAAGCACAGGAAAAGAGCTAGGTATTATTACTATCATTATCACATATAGTGGTCACACACGTACTCCTACCATTTTTCTTAGATAATACCCCAATTCAGCAAAGCACTTGCCAATAGCAAGTATAGGAAACATTGCATATATGCAGGTTATCAGAACTAGTTATTTAAGGTCAAATTAGCAAGTATTCAAGTGTGACCACTGTATGGTACTAAAGCTGATCTTAAAAGCCACTTAAAATAAGAAACCATCCCTTTGTTTTTGTTTCTGGGCCTGCATGAGGTTGTTAATCAAATTTATGAGTTTTTGTGAAACAATTTCCTCTGTTCATTAGAGGTTACTATGAAAATGTTATCTGGAAGCTCAACTGCCAATTTGAAACTAATCTAGCTTTTAATCAACAGCACTAAAAGCTATTATTTCACTAGTGGGTAGCTCATGAAGGCAAATCACTCCCATGAAAAACACTTTTAATTTTCCCTTGACTTATACCTTCCAGACTGAGATGGGAAAATAAATTTCACATTAAAATTTCTTCTTCCAGATGCAGCATTAAGACATCGAGGGTTTTTCTAAGTAATAATATCATGCACTTAGAGGCTTGATCTTGCATGCTTGTTCTATTTACTGAGGTACTTACATGGCCCTCATCACCAGAGTATCTGACCCCACCTCTCCCCTTCACAATCATTAACGGAGTTTATCTAGAGATGGTTGACATTTTTCTGGCAGAACTACTGTGAAATGATCTGATGGAATCAAAATATTCAACAGGAACTTGTTGATGCTGTTGAAACTTTTGACAGAAATCAGACAGGCAGATTGGCCAGACTACCTACCTGCCAGTTCATCCACCCATCGACCCCCCCAAGCTCCTCAGGACTGGAGCTGGGGTTGCCTAGGTTTCCAGGTTCCTAGCACCTTGGTAGCTCACCCTCTAGAGGGCTGCATGGGAACCCATGGACCTGGGACCAGATATATATATTTTTAATCCATTCTGGTTCTTCTGAAATGATTTTTTTTTTTAAATGCTATGGAAAATTTCACATCTCCAGCTTTTCTTTCTGATTCAGAATGAGAAAAAAAATCAGAAATGCAAAATTTTCCTTGGGACAGAAATCCCGGGTCCTGCCAAGCTCTAATTTCATCTTCACAGCTGTTATCCCTTCTTTAAAGAGAGGGGACTCAGGCACAGAGAGATGGAGCAATTTGCCCAGCATCACACAAGATGTACGGGAGGGCCAAGGCCTTCTACGCAAGCCTTTTCTCCCCGGATCCAAACGATCCTAACGCTTGCAGAGTGCTCTGGGACGAACTCCCTACGGTCAGCGCGGGCGACCGAGACCGGTAGAGCTGCCTCTCACTCTGGCCGAGTTCTCGGAAGCCCTCCGCCGCATGCCCACCAATAAATCACAAAAGTAGTCTCTACTAAAGCCATGCATAGCACTAATGTCTCTTGAGCCCTGAGTTCAGTGCCCCCTCCAGGAGACCATCCTGCTTTGAGCACCCGATGTTTCCAGTAATGTCAATGGGAGTTTGGATGTGCAAGGAATGTGGTATTGGTCCCAAGGATCTCAAAGCACTTCATAGACAGAAATTAACTGAACTTTACAACACTGTTGTGGGGCACAGAGCCAACCTGCAACCTTGTGGCTGGGGGCCTACGTTTATGTCATGGAGGTCATGGAAGTCAGGGAATCCGTGACTTCCGGAGACCTCCCTGACATTCTCTGCTTCAGCCCCAGGGGCTGCAGGACTCTGGAGCTGACAGCCAGTGGGGCCTGGGCAGGGTTCCAGCGACAGGCGACAGCAGTGACAAGTGATGGGGGCCCCCTGCAAAGTTCCTGGGACAGGTGACAGACTCCTGAGGGGGCCCTCCTCAGGGTTCCAGCGACGGGCAACAGCCTCGCATGGGGGGAGCGGGACACGCTGGGCGAGCGGCTGGGGGTGTGCCATTTTCTCTTTGGGAAATATGGTCACCCTGCAGCTCCCAGCCACCGTGGGCAAAGGGAAAACCCCACAGCTCCCAGCTACCATGGTGGTAGGGGAAACCATGGAGCCGCAGCAGCAAAAGACATAGACAGGTCACAGCTTCCGTGAATTTTTGTTTATTGCCTGTGACCTGTCCATGACTTTTACTAAAAATAATCATCACAAAATCTTAGCCTTAGCAATAAGTGACCCCTTTAGGCCAATAAAGTCAGTGAAAAGGGGCTGTGGTGAAAACTGAGATTGAAGCCCTTGTGTCCTTATTTACACTTGTGCAAACTATGTACAGAGGGCTCGATTGATTGTTGCCATAAATCAGGTGTGAAGCCCCCATGTGGCACAGTAGTGGTGCTCGGGGCCTTTCCACCAGGGCCAGAGTTTGCAGAGCTGCAACTGCCCCCAGTGGACATGTCAGGAGTGTCCCATGGCAGCCCAGGGGCAGCAGGGGGTGTGGCCAGGACATCTCTATGCCAACTGACCGCTGTTGCAAGCCCCACAGTATCTCTGAACCCTGTTTATTCCATCCACCCCCATGCTGGCCAATCCCACAGAGTGGGTTTTAAATGCTACTGAATCCAAATGGTAATATTTCACACTCACTTTGAACAGTGACCACACAAGGTACGAGTCAGTGCAGAATCAGACCCTCCCTACTCCTAGCTGACAGCCAGACTTCACCAGCATGAACAAGGTGAGCAGGGCTTGGTTCGCTACTACACAACGTTATGATTTAAAGCACTGGGGGCGGAGTTTCCTCTTTTACTCTGGTGGAAGTGCATTTACTCCCGTGGAGTTACATCTGATGTACAGCAGTGTAAGCCCAGAGGAGAATAGAGCCCTTGATGGTTTGCTCTTTGCTTCATTGACGGCCTCAATGAAACAGTTTAGCAGGCACATCTCAGCAAATGTCACTGGCTCCCAGGAACAGAACTCCTGTACAATTGCCCAAGTAGCTCAAACGCAGGGGCTGGATTGCAAAAGCAAACAGCTGTTCAATGACATTAAATATTAAACACCAGAGATAGGGTAATTTTTTAAAGTGGCTTAATTCGTCACTGGAATCAGGGCTGCTTCGAACAACATGGGGCCCACTGCACAGTCCCTTGTTCGAGGCTTATGACTGCAATGCTCCAGAGTCCTCCTTCACCTTCCCCAGACTCCTACATCACACACACTGAGGGAAGGGAGGGGGGCCAGGCATGACTTGAAGTGGGGAGGGAATAAATAATGTGTGCTGTGCTTGCTCAGTTAAGGAAATAGTGGCCAGAAGTTTCCTGTTAAACAGGAGGAGCTGGGAAACTTGCAAAATATCCCAGCCGGAGCTGTCATGAAGGAGATGTCCCTAGTTGTTATCTCAGCCAGCTTTTACTCAATAATAACACCCGGCAATGGAGCATGAGCAGTAAATCACACTGCGGTCCCCCATGCAGCTGCTTGGCAGCATTGTTTAAACTCACCCTAGCTGAAGTCAATGGATTTGCACCCGTTGCCCCCTGTGGTTCATTCATCCCATGATGGTTAATTGTCTCCCTTTAGATCCATTACACCGTATTAACTGTCCTCTGACGTTTGTGGGGTTTCAAGCCAAATTTTTCTTTCAAACCTGATTATTTGAAAATATATCTTTATACATTTTAGATTGTTTACATTGATTTGGCTTCCTGTCTTCTGCCTTTGCTGCACTCTGGCTTGTTTTTCTGGTGCCCATTTTTCCTCTTTGCTGTTCTCTGGCAGAGTTGGGGCGGGAGGGGAGGCTGTTTTTCCTTTAACGAAAGAGAGAACCAAAGTAGATCTTTGGAACCAGCTGAGAGAGAGAGGGAGACAGAGAAGCAGACAGGGAGCAGACGACCCGCCAGACTGATCTGGCTCTGCATCCCAGCCCCTTCTTGGAATTTCTCCCCCTGAAAAGCACAACGAGGCAGCACCCAGAGCATCCTCGCAGGGGTGTGGCTCCCTTCCTCCCTCCTCCAATCAGAACTTTTTAGGAGCCTCCCAAGAAGATTGATGCTGGGTTGCTAGGAGATAGCAGCGTCTGCCGTTCTTGCCCGGGCTGCCAGTGCAGGTGGAAAGCTGCGGGGAGAGCAGCTCATCGCATTGCTCCGTGCGCGGCTCGTGCGGTCCCCCAGCAGCCCGGGAGCGCAGGATGCTCCTGCTTCCGAGTTAGCCCTGGAGAAATAATCCTACACCCCCCCCCCCTTCTGCAGGCAGCTGGTGCTGGCTGGGAATGGGAAGCCTGCAAAATCTGCCCCCCTCGCCTCCCTCCTCTTGACAGCCCCAGCCAGGCTGGTAATTTAAGGCTCTGCACCAAGCTCCCCCCAGCTGAAAGGAGGGGAAAGAAGGAGCCGAAGAAAGATGCGGCTCCGCAGCAGGGAGCCCCCGGTAGGAGCCTGGCCGAGGCGAGCCCCCGTGGGGCCGGTGCACGGGAAGAAGCGGGCTCAGGAGGAGCGAGGAGCAGGGAAGCGGGGGGTTAATTGGTGAGCGCAGATTCCGCCCCCCCCACACACACACACACCCCAGACACACACCGCCAGCCTCCCCCCGGCGCACGGGAGGCCTGGATGCGCTGCCAGCGGGACTGGGTCCAGAGCGGGGGGGACGGGGGAGACGCTCCTCTCCTCGCACAAGTTTGGACCTTCCGGGGCGGCGGGGGGCGAACTCTCTCGTGGATCTTAAAGGGCGAATGAGAGGCAGCGCGGAGCCCGGCAGCGAGCGGGAGCCCAGGAGCCGCCGCGCCGGCCGGCCGGGAGGTCCCTTCCCGCACGGTAAGGCGAGCGACCGCGGCCCCGCGGCTGCTGCCCGCTGCCCGGGCGCGGCTTGCGGCGCCACCCCGGGGGGAGTTATTGGGCGGGGGGGGGGGCAGGTGTATTTGCCTAGAGCTGCAGGGATTGGCGGTGGGGGGGGGGGAAAGGGGGCAGGTGATCGAGGGTTGCCCTGGGCCCCTCCGCTGCACAGGGCAGGTGGGGCGCGAGCCCCCAGACCCCGGGGCTTTCCCTGGTTTGCAAAACCCATCACCGGTCGCGACGGCTCCGCGCCGTGACTCGGTGGTACCCGGCGGCGGTCAGTGACACGGGCTCCCCGGCCGGCTCACCTAAGGCACAGCGGCTGCAGCCAGATGTTCCCCAGAGGTTCGCTGCGGGCGGGGGGGGGGGGACTGAACTTACTGTCCGTTTGGTTCCCAAGCGCGGGTGGCCACTGGCAAGCGAGCCTGCAAGCTCCTAGCCGGCCCCTAGTTCACCGCATGGTCTTGTCTGGAGGAGGGAGCAGGCTGGGAGGGAGAGACTTGGGGAACACAGCGCATTGACGGGGCTTCACGGCTCCCTAGAGATTTCTGCAGGGATTTGGCTGTTCCCAGGATCCTAATCTTGGAGTTCTGTAAAAGATACAGAATAACTATATGTGCATGTATCCAGCCGTGTGTACATAGATGTGCATATCTGTGTGAGTAAATGTATTTTATCTCTATATTTGTGTGTGTGCCTATGTGTATATGTCTATATATTGGGTGCATCCGTGTGTCCATTGGTATATGTGTGTCTATACACGTGTGTGTTTGTGTCCATATGTGTGCCTATCTGTGTCTATATGTATATATCTATCCACGTGTGTGTAACTATCTTTGCGTTGTATCTGTGCATACAAATGTATATTTTAACAACTCTCTGAAGGTGGGTGCTTTTTATGCATATACGTGTACATAAATATGTATGAGTGCAGAAGCAAGAAATAATATACATATTTATGTGTCTGTACGGGTTTTCCAAGTTATCCTAAAGCTTCAGTTATTAAAATCCCCAAATTTCAGTAATCTTAGCATTTTGATTAAAACCAAGCAAAACACAAAAATAGAGTATTCGGACTAACAATGCTTTGGTCTGAGTTAAGGATAAAGCTGCTAGTTTTAACTTTTCTCAGCTTTTTCACAGTTTATGTCACTTGCTGAAGATGATGTAAAACATATTCTAAAAGGTTGATTCATTTTAAAAAATCTTCCTTGGAAGGTTGTGAAACCAAATCGCTTAAGACGCAGACTAGCAAATATTTAAGCTTGTGTAAATGCATGTCTCAGGTTGGTTAAATCTGCATGAAAACAATTTGAAAGGTGTATTTTTCACCTGATTAAATACTTATTTTAGAACAATGACAATACATTTCTGGATACATTTCCCTTACAATGCTTCCAAGCTGTTAAGAGTTAGTCTACTAACTACATATTTTTATACATGCAATGATTAGAAAACATAATTTACTCTAAAGAGGGTTGCAATTGCAAAAATACCAGTTAAGGCATTTTTTCCAAATTGAGGACAATTTTATATAGTGCCTTTTATCCTCAACGATAGATTAATGATCAATGTGAATCCTTCTTAATTAATTGATTAATGAGCAGAATAATAGGAATGGTTATGGTCTACTGTGAAATAACACATTCTTCCCCCACCTCTTCCAAAATATACCAATCAGTACTGTCCACCAAACCTCTTGTTTCTATGATTACTCATTTTAGAGGTAAAAGAATGAAAATCAACATTAAGTAAAAAATGCCCACCATTTTCCCCCTGCTGTGTAACTTAAAAATAAGCCAAATCACTATTTTTATCAAGTACATTAGACTATAAATCTTGCTCCTGCACTGAGACACTGGTTTTGTTGCTGTTTGTTTTTTTTTTTTTTTTTTGAGTTGTTTTTATTGATGGCCTAGTTATATACTCCTCTGCAAATGATGATTTTTAATGTAAATGTTGCCACCCTTGGTACATGTAGCAGAATGCTATCATTCAAAGAGTGAATCCTTGGCATGGTACGGCGATCAAGTTCCCCTCTGGATCTTGTTTGCATCTTTATGTTTAGATAATATGTGCTAGAGCAAGTTTTGAAAGTAAGCTCGAATCCCAAAGCAAAAGAAACATAGAGATAAGAATACTCAGCAGTGCAATGATCTGCGCTGTTTAAGTGGAATTTAATTTAGAAATGAGTAAAGTAATGGGGTGGGGGAAAGGAAGATACACTGTTACATCTTGGTATTGAAAGGAAGATGTGTACATATGTTTTGTGCAAACAAGATAGCCCCAGGGGAAAATCCTATAGAATTTAATAGTGTTGTAGCTAATAGGTTCTGTACAAATCACTGTAAAACCCTATGTAGCTTAATTCTAATCTGATTTGCCCTGGTGTAAATCAGGAGTAATTTGTTTGACATCAATGGTCCAGATTCTTAGCTGGTGTAATTGAGTTCAATGGAGCTACACCAATTTACACCAGCTGAGGATCTGGTTTAAGAGTGTGAGTTCAGAATCAAGCCTGTAGACTTTAGTAAAGCAGTAGATCCTGGCTATACATTTGTTGAAGCATCCTATAGGATTCCACTTCAGGAAAGATCATTCTCTATTAAATTCTACAGGATGGTTCAGAAGGGTTATTATTTTTTATTAAATCTCCATTAGAGACCAGAATTTCAATGCTTCAATGCTTTGTCTCTCCTTACATACAGTATAATGATAATTAATCATTTTGTTTACAAAGCACCCACCCACCAAAGCTCTCAAGAAGTTGTACAGCAATGTTATCAATACAGGATAATACAGTATTACTGTTTGTGTGTAAACATATATAATGAGAAGTGCAGAGAGTTGTTCAAACCGTGGTGAAGAAATCCATGTAGTATCGACTGGCTTCTCTTTCTGCGTATTGATGTCAAGTTTACTGATGAAAGAAGAACAGGAGTACTTGTGGAACCTTAGAGACTAACAAATTTATCTGAGCATTTATTTGACGGTTATTTATTTAAGCATTTATTTGATGGTTATCACTAAGTGATCCAGTCCCATTCTTGATCAGAAGCTAGGATCGATTGTCCCTTGCCATATGCAGGGAAATATGGTGGCATATGGTGCTCCTTTTACTTCTTTGCATGGGATGCACATGCCGTCTCCCCATGGCCACTACTCCCCTTCCCATGAAGGGGTGGGGAATGGGCAGGGATTTGGTTCCATCCACCCCAACAATGCATCAAGCTGTGTGGAGGGGAAAGTAATCTGCGACTTCTCTATGCTCGTTTCCCCCTTGGAACAAGTTGGGAGCCAAGAGATTGAGTCTCTTCCCTGCTCTGCTCCTGGGATATTGCAGCTATGTGCTACCCCTTCCGCAGGGCAGATTGCAGAGTGATGCTCTAGCCCTAAACTGGTGAAAAGGAGTGGGACACAACAACAAGAGGTCCTGTGTAAAACACATCTTTTCATTTAAAATCACCTCTTTATTTGAATAGTAGAACTGCCAGGACAAAAGACAAGATTTTCTCTGACTTTGTAGTATCCAACTCTAGGCTGGGAACAACTTCAGGGCAAGTGTGTGTGAGTTTTTCCATTGCTACAGACAAAAAAAGCAATTGTCTACAAAAGTGTTTCAGTTTCTACCACCTGGGATGCAAGGCTATTGCTGCCTCCTCTGATATGCAGAGAATCCAGTGGGCAATGCCAGTGAAACTGTTGCCGTGTATATTTTACTGCAGGGTTTTTCAGTATTTTTTTTTTCAGTATTCCGCGAATATTACAAGGAATATAATACGTAGTTTCAAGTTGTGTGTTAACTCAGTGGTGTCAGATCATCAGGCAATGTAAATCAATGCAGTTCCATTGAAATCAAACAGCACTAAAGTCAATGGAGCTACATGGATTTATACCAGCTGAGGATCTACCCAGTATTCCTTTTATCTTTATATTGGCCCTGTGATGCTAAAATGATATAATTGGAAACACCGTAATGTCATTATGCACAGCTAGAATGGAACCAAATGGAAATGTAGGGTAATAGTCTTCACACTATGTAGCTATAGGGCCATGTTGCCAACTGGTGTAAATCAGCAAAACTCCATGGAAATCAATGGAGTTACACAAATTTGTATCAGCTGAGGAACTACCCCATAACTTGTAGCATAAAATGGTATAAAAACTCAATTGTAAAAGAATAACTAAACAGATCATTCTACACTACAGTCTGCTCTTAGATGCAGACACCAGCCTCATTATGATGATCATTATTGTACCATAAAGGTGCACAGCAATGACCAGTAGCAAGTGTCTACACTGAAGAAAGCCCCAATTTCAATTTACAATTGAAAGCCCCAGTTCAATAAAGTACTTAAGCATGTGCCTAACTTCAAACACCTAAGTAAGCCCATTGACTTCATTGAGACTGCTCATACACTTAAAGCTTGGCACATGTTTAAGTACCTTGCTGAATGGGGCCTATGGCTCTATCCCTCACCATTTCAGTCAGTGGGAGGTTTGCCACTTATTTTGATGAGTGTAGGCTCCATGAACAAATGGAGATGGTGGAAAAACAAGACAGGATATGCATTAAGTAGGGAACGCACAACAGAGCTTGAACACTTCATGGATAAAGATTTTTTCCAAGGTTCCTTGTAGGGAACTGAGGGACCCTTGAGCCTTCAAATGGGGAGGTTATTTCAGGTACAAATGGGTGGCATGGGAATAGGCACAAAAGTCAGAAATGGCTGAAGAGCAAAATGGGGTGATGAGTGATAAAGTTTGGGAGGAACATGAAGAGCTTCAGGCAGTGGAGAAATGACATGAGGAGAAGAAGGCCAAACTGGGCCTGGAGTAAGTGTAAGAGCAATGTGAAGATTCAAGGATGACTGAAACGTGGTCAGAGCAGTGGGGAAAGAAAGGTAGCTGCATTTTGGGTTGATGGAAGTGGAGAGAGTTAAGAGTGGAGGAGGAGAAGCTGCAGTAATTAAAACATGAGATTGCAATGGCAAGGAAGGCGTGAATTTTGGAGGTGGCGTAGAGGTAGCTGAATTTGGCAAGGAGAGGGGGAGAGATGACATCAAGGATGACATCTTATTCAGTAAAAAGAAAAGGAGTACTAGTGGCACCTTAGAGACTAACCAATTTATTTGAGCATAAGCTTTCGTGAGCTTATTTCAGGGAGTTGATGTTCACCACTGAATTTCTAGTGGCAGTGAGTCACAGAAAGGAGATATCAGATAGCCAGGTGGAGATATGAAAATGGGGAAAAAATTGAAAGTTCATGCGTGCCTACACATTTGTACAGAGAAATCAGAGTAAAGCTGGTATGACTAAACCTGTGTGAGCAAATTGCATCACTCAGGAGGAGTGTGGTGGAAGAAAAGGGGAGGGCCCTGGTGTGCCTGGAATCCCAGGGGAGTCAGCTGAGGTCACTCAATCAGGGTGAACTGCAAAGAGTGGGGCAGGCAATCCCCAAAGCTGGTGGATATTCCAATACTTAGATTTACCAAGCCAGCACAAAACAGCTTC